TGAATCAAGGAATGCACCCAAATTCCTTACACTTGATGACTGTTTGATTTCAACTTGGTCCACATTGACAGTTATATTTTTCACTGAGTCTGTATTGCTACCCGACGAAAAGACTATATAAAGTTCTGTTTTGTCTGAAAATTCAGTTTGAGAATGTTGCTGTTCTTCCAGAATGTTATTTTCTTTTAAGCAGTTTGAGACAGAATCAATTACAAGTTCAGTTTTGGTGTTGTCCAACGGTTTGAAAGAAATGTATTATTTGAGAATCGTCAGCATAGAAGTGACATTGCAGACCATGTTTTTCGACAAATTTCGCCGACAGGTTTTGTGAAAAGTATGTAAAAATTTTGGGTCCTAATGACAGAGACCCTGAGGGACACTGTATGTCATATGCACAGGGTCAGATAGTTCTCCATCAATACAAACAGTCTGATAGCGACCACTGAGATAAGATCTACACCAAGCGAGCACTCTTTCCAGTAAAAACCAAAGTCACATTCGAGTCGATTAAGAAGAGTGTTGTGGTCAATCGTGGTCAAAGGCAGCAGATAAATCGAGCATTTACTAATATTGTAACTTCGCCTTTGTCAAGAGATTGGAGAATGTCATTTTGCACTTTGATAAGTGGGTTTTTCTTTTGGAATTTTAAATTTCCCGTACAATTGATTTTGGGGTTCCCTTTTAGGGTTGTTGTGTTGAGAAAATATCAAAACTGCAGTAGCCGCAGATTTAGAAGTTTTGAGTCATAATTTTTTTATTAGCCAACTTTGGGCTTAAAATTTTTTTCAATTTTTTTCTTTTATCCAAATTGTCCCTTTTTTTTAATAGTTTGGGCTTATTATTTTGAAAATTTTTGTTAAAGGGTGGTAAGGGGGAAAACGTTCGGTAGCGGGTTTAAATTTAAAAAATCATAAGGTTGAAACATTTTTGCTTAATTTTAGGTGATAAACCTAAAAATTTTTGGGATTTTTTTTAGGAAACCCCCAATCCCCAATCGGATTTTAAATTCAAATTATTTTTGGAGGGTGACATTTTAAAATGAGCTTAAAAACTTGCCTCTTTACTTGTAATACTTAAAATTTTACCCGGGGGGAAAAGGTTTTTTTTAGGTTTTTTGTATTTGAGTTGAAATTAGATTCATTTGTTTATATTACATTCATTTTAAGATGCTATTTGTTCAGATCTGATTTATTTTTTTTTTTTCAATTTTGTTTTCAAAGAAATCACTAAAATCTTGAGCTAGTTTCTTTAGCAGAAGTGTGTGATGGGAGCTTAACCAACTTCAGGTTTGTTTCCGAGGAGATGATTTGTTTTTACTACTTTTTGAAAAATTTGTTTTTGATCATCTTACCACACGATTTTATTTTGTCTTTGTAATATGTTTCACGAGATCTTTCAATTACATCATTTTACAACTAAGCACTGACTTCTGTATATTTTCATGATCTACAGTTAATTTTGATTCCTTGCCATTTTTCTTTCAAGTTTTACGTTTTTTAATGTGTTTCTCGTCATGTATTTCTCTTTGATTGAACCACGGGCATTGGGGGTCTGAGAAACAATTGTTTTTTTTGTTTTTTTTCAGGTGCATGTTGTCTAAACAAAGATGAAAGGACAGTGTGATATTTTCTCTGATGCTTCTGCCATGCTGTCTGGTTTTTACGGACCAAAAAAATTCAGATGATCTAATATCTTGCTTTGAAATCTTCAATGTTTATATCACGAGATTTTCTGTATGTGACTGTTTTACGAATAGGTGGTGGTTTTCGAAACATTAACTTTCATTAGGATAGCAAAAATGGTACACGTTGTTACTTTTCCGTTTTGAAGTTTTTAAATCCAGGGATCAGTTATTTTAATATCAGATACTACATTTTTTCATTTTCTCTTGTTATGACTACATCTAAAATGTGTCCAGCTACATGTGTCGGTTCATTGACATAACTGTTTTAATCCAAATGTGTTCAGGATGGATAAGATATTCTGCGCATCACGAAATTATCAAGTTTTATCAATGTGAAAGTTTGTATCTCCTAGAAACACTGTGTTTTTGTTCAGTTTCAGCATATTTCGACAGAAAATCAGGAAACTCATTGTTCAAGAATTTTTTTAAGTACTTTAGGCCATTCGTTTTGGATGGAGGAGTCTATATATTACAACAAGGCGGGTTGAAAAGTCACGAAACACTAATGATACAGTCCATGAATTCGAATTGTTCAAAGTCTCCATCTTTACTTGACGAGTCAATTTTGATTTTTATTGAGGTTCTTGTGAAGAATTTGGCAAACACCACCACCTTCTCTCTTTAATCTAGGAACATGAGAATTTTTTAACCGGTCAGGCACAAGTTCACTAAGACACACTTTGTCTACTTTACTCCCAAGCCAGGTCTCTGTTATAACCAACATTGTCAAGGTCATTGAGAAATAATAAAGTCATAGATGGCTTTACGTTTTATTTTTAACTGATCTGCAGTTTGATCAAACATATTGACATATATTTTGAACCACTGACTGTAGTGTTAGAATTGGTTTAACTGAATCAAATTTTCCTTAATCAACTTTCTCCTGGTTTATGTTCGACCCCCTGTAATTTACTGTTTGATTCAACTGTGGTATAATTTGATTAAGTGTTTTCAGATTATTCAGGTGAATGCCTTGATTTGTTAATCCCATTCTCTTCTTTTATATTTTTGTCCACCTTTAGAATTTCTAATATTTGAAAAAGATTATAATCGCCTTTAAAGTTTGAATGGTATCATTACTTTAATCCATGTTGCCTTCGGGGTGGTTTTGCTAGTTTTAACAATTGATCTCTATTGTATCGTATAAAGCACATTGTTGTCTATTTTATATCCAGGTTTAAAATTTATATCACCATACATGTATATTTATATATGTACATACATTATTAAAAAATCGTATATTTTTTTTTACCTGATTTAAGATTAAAGTGTTTAACGCTTTTTAGTGTTAGTCATATTTTTCACAATTAAATGAAATTTTTTCTTGGGTTAAAAATTGGGCCGGAGATCTGGAATTTTGTAAAAGTTATTTTTTGTCCCCGATTAAAATTTAAAAGGTACGTTTTTTTCAAAAAGGGAAAATATTCCAAAACTCGTCATAAACATAGGAAAAACCCTTAGTGGAGTTTACCTTGCAATTTTTGGGTTTTTTTAAAAGGTGGGTCAGAAAAAGGGTAGGGTTTGTTTTTAAAAAAACCAGAATTTTCCAGAAATTTTGAAAAAAAAATTATTTTTTTCCCCGGGAAAAAAATTATAAAAGGGGTTTTTTCTACATTTTTTAAACCAATTTTTTCAAATTTTTTAGCATAAATTTTAAAAAAAACTCCAAAAATTAAACTAATTAGTGGTTTTCACTTTTGGCTAAAATTATGAGGTATTTTAAACCCTTGTTTAGTCAAAACGGGGTAACTTTATATTATCAGCTATAAGAGTAAAAGCTCACCTAGATATATCGAAAATCCAAATATATGTTTTTCCACTTTTATAAATGGCTGAATGTACCTTTACTTAGTTTTGCTTTCTCTTTTATACAATTTGTCAAATTTGATTAATGCATTTCGACCAAAAAAAGAAAGTTTACTGCTTCCGTTATAGCCACTATGTAATAAATAAACGAGTTTATAATGCAAACTACAGTTAATGATATGCAGTGAATCAATCTCTGATCAAATTTTCATTTATTTAACCGTAACATTTTATGAAGTAGAACTATAATAGCACAGACTTGTTTCAATATTTTAGTTAAAGATACAGAGGGTATGACTGTTACATAAACACCATGCTTTGAAGTTTGAACATTTCAATGTTTTATTTCATTCTATACCAATTATTGCTCTTAAATTCTATAACGTGACAGACCATTACATTTTATGCATTTATAACTGTAGTATTCAACATATCCTATATTAGGCGGTTGAGTGGCTATGTGTCACCATGGGTAAAATTTCTAAATGTCGTAAAAAGGACCGACCGACCAAACAAACAAACAAAGCAAACCAAAAGAAAAAGAAAAAAGGGAAGAAAAAAATAAGGTAACATGAAAACGAAAGAGACTCACGTTTCTTATTAGAATAAATTAAGTAGGCACATGATGCGTTTACTCGATTTAATTTTTAATGTGGAATAAATCTTTGGGCGACACAAGCACAACGGTTAGTAAACGGAACAATTGTTGCTTTTTTATGGTAAATCAAATTGAAAGACACGAAATCAGCGCATATGCATGCTTAGATATTCTACTACAATCCTCATTTAAATATTTCTAGGATAATATTATCATTATGTTTATTTTTCAAGATTATTTATAAAATTGGTTACCTTACGTTTCTTTAGCCACCGTATGCGCTTATTCGTTATATTTTATTATGCATCGTAATTACTACTAGTATACAATATATTGGTCCTTGGATTAAATATATTTATTAATGATTTTTCATTCATTAAAAATGTGACTGAAATAATTTTGTTATCATTTTACAGTATTTTGGACTGTATGTTCTAGTATCAACATGGGACATAAATGATTGCGTATTTTAATGCAAAAAGCAAATATTTTCTTTTATCAATTGCAATGATGTTTAAAACTGTAAAAAGCGTATTTAATTTGTATACATGTATTTCGTTGTAAAGCAGCATGCCATCAAATCGAAAGGCGAAAACACACAAAAAGACAAAGTGGTGACTGCCGTATTTACGTGTTTTCGCCTTGCAGATCGAAAGTAGAATAAATTGGGGACTTTGTGGTATAGGTGCGTCCCGCGTAGCGAAAGTACGATAAAATGTCTACATTGTCACATTTCGTATTTTCGTCTGGCGCCCCGCTGAGGCATAATTCAGCCACTTAAATCCTGCATTTAGAGGGAAGAAAGCTTTCTCACATAAAATAATATTTAAACAAACTGTTTTTCCCATTTATTTAGAATAAAGTATAAACAATCTGACATGGATTTTGGATATTGATTTTTTTTATTTCTCAAACAATTTAAGTGTTTGAGTTAAATATGTAAAACCGATTTATGATAAACACGACTACATACTGTACAAACGATATTTACCTTTGAGGCCATCTTTAAACAAGCAGATATTTATAAATGTATAGCTATAGGCATGAGTTCATTATCTAGGTTGTCAATATTGTTCACATTATACTGCATATAAAATGGATATATCAATTTCTGTAAGTGGTATATTACTGGCTCTCATAACACTGTGTTTGGCTGCATGGTGGGCAAAGTGGTTTAGTAAAGAACGGTATCCCATGGACCTTGGGGATTTCCTATATTTTGACACCTGCCTTTGTTAAGTAACAAACCGGAGTTAAAATATTCAAAACGGCGACAGAAATATGGAGATATTTTCAGCATCCGTTTTGGTAGCTGGAATACAATTATTGTCAATGGGTACAAAGCCATTAAAGATGCAGCAGAGCGAAAGGATGATGTCTTTTCTGGAAGACCTGAATTTGCTATAGAAATTGCTATTAGGGAATCATTCGACGGTCTTGAAAGTATAACGTTTTGTAACTTTACCCCAAAGTATCTACATCTTAGAAAACGAACAACTATGGCTATGAGAAAAAACGTGAAGAAGTGTGATTATTCTGACGGAAAAACTGTTAAGATATCCACCTGATGAACCCGTATCCATCGATTTAGATATTCAGTTGGCTGTTAAAAGTGCATTATACCAGATGCTATTTGGCAGAGGGAAAGAAGACGAAATAAAACCACATTTAAACTTAATAATTGAATCAACTGAGACCTTTAACAAATTCGTGTCTTCTGGTAATTTAGTAGACGTTATCCCATGGTTTAGGTATATCATGAAAATGGAGGTGGTTAAATTCAAAGCGGCAATAACCGATAACAAAATCTAAGATATCTGAACCTAAAACTTCATTTCAAACTGGACAAATGCGGGATATTTCAGATGCATTATGTGGTGTGTCAATCGACTTGCCAGAAAATGGGACCGGTGATACCCTATCATCCACGCTTTTACAATTTCAAATTTTATCATTGCAAGGTGCTGGATTCGATACCACAAGTCGCACAATCATGTTTATCATCTTATATTTGATTACTTTTCCAGATGTCCAAGAGCGTGCTCAGAAAGAGATAGACCACGAATTGGGCAGCAGTAGAAATATCTCGGGCAATGACCAAGCTAAGCTTCCATACGTAATGGCAACAGTCCTTGAAGTATTGAGAAAAACTGCAATAGTTCCTTTCGCTATCCCTCATCTCACTCTCCATGACGCAAAATTGCGAGGATATGACATCGATAAAGATACTGTTGTTTTTTTCAACCTTCATTCAGTAGCACACAAAGAATCATATTGGGGCTGTCCAGAAAACTTTAGGCCCAAAAGGCTTCTTGATGATTCTGGAAATCTGCTGGAAAAGTGCTCACATTTGGCATTTGGTGCGGGGAGACGACAATGCCCAGGCGAAACTATTGCAAAAATGAAAATATTTATCGTTATTGCAACATTGTTACAGCGTTGTTCGTTTCAGAAAGCTGACGGGTCTGACCTTGACTTTGATCCTACTCGTGGACTTGTTCTCTCATTCAAAGTTATTGTGAAAAGAAATTTGTAAGCATCGTCTGGAATAACGAGGTTGATACACCGGAGAGTAGGACCGTAAAGTGATACTCTTAAATAATTTCTCTTATTCTGTTAATTTTCCTAAAAATAATCTTATGTTCATTTAATATTATTTTATTTCGCATATTACAAATTGTATAGATTTGTCCTAAAGAGCTTATTCAATACCAAAAGGGCAACTATATACATTTGACCCATCCGTCCAAATTAATTTTTAACCAAGTGTAAAAATATACCATGATGTCTCCTGCAAAAATATCATTCTAATTTGTATAAAAAAAATGTTTGCTTATTTCCTTATTAGCGAAAAATCATAGCAAAGTGATTAAAGCGGCACGCCTCCAGATTCATGCTAATTTTCATGAAAATTTTGAAAATGTGTTAAAAGTATTATTTAGTGTAATAATCAAAAGGAAGTAATTTACACATTATCAATGGCACTTACCACCCACGTAAATTACGAAAAATAGGACAAAACCCTTACTGCGTTAATAACGCAGTAGAAATATAGTTATAAATTCTAAAAAAATCGGTCATTAATCGCACATAACATGTAAATTATTACTTGAATCTTGAATATTTTTACTTTTCCTAAAATCTTAGTATATTTTTCTCAGATTTGATTGTATTGAAATATTTCGCTCATCTGGAGGCATGCAGCTTTAAAACCCTACTTTGAATAAAGCATACTATTTTGTTCCATAACGTAAAGGGTTGAAAACGTAGAAATAACAAAGCAAAAACATCCAACTATTTGTTGTTTTGTGTAACATTTGTCGTTAACCTATTTTAAACTTTAAATTTGAAATTTTCCCAGAGTGAAAAAGCAAAATGAGAAAAAACCTCGCAATGTCATTTTGACATAAATTCATTTATTTTGTATGTAAAAGTACACACACAAAATAGCCTCAAGATAGGAAAATGATATACACGGCCCGGTCTTTCCTTTTTTCTTTCTACTTAAAATGTCACGCGCTATATGACTTGTTTTAATAATTTACGACGATGAAACTTGTGCTAATCAGTGTGTTGTTACTATTATAATTAGGCTAAATATATACAATAAATGAGGACAGCTTTCTATTCAAAACAGATATTGCAAAGTTGGAATTACTAGCAAACAATATTCAAACCATTCATTTAATCTTATCCTTCACTATAGCATGCTTTACAAACCCTTCCGCGCTGCCTTATACATTATAATTTATAACATGACATAACATGATATTTTACAATTAAAACAGTATCATAATTATAATGTTATCATCTGTCGATGTTCTTTAATTTTATTATCAAACCAAAAAAACCAAACACACACCTTCCTGACGTGGGACTTTAAAGTTGTCGTAAGTCCCAGTCCTGACGTATGGTTTTTGAAATCGATTGTATTTATTGAAATAATACCTAGTCGATTCAGTAACGCGACATTGAATCATTTTAATGCATATCTCGCATGAACAATGGTTGACAAAAAGAAGGAATATTTATTTTCTCTAAATAACGCTCTTGATGAAAAATGATACAGTTCACTGATTACATAAGAAAACGTATTTATAAATATAGTATTACATTAAATTCCAATCTTATCAAATGTAATCTAAAATATAGAATAAATAGATGTTTTGTTACTATATTTAATATCCGCCCTAGCAAAATAATAATCAAACATTGACAGAAAGAGAGAATTTACGGGCGTATCTACCATGGCAACAGTTAATTAGATCGTCGGCAACATAAGTGACTTTAAAACGGGCTTTTATTTAGGCCAACATACATGACCAGTAAGCAGCTGGTTGTGATATATGTAACAGTCAGTGTAAAGATGTGAAAGACTTGTTTAATATATTGAGAAGGTTATCTTGTGCTTACTTAGTTAACTACTTTAACATTTAAGCCACAATTTTATTTTAACAATGGTAAAAAAATTGATATATCTTTGGACAAACGGTCTGACAAACTTTCTCGTAATTAACACACCTAAAAGAAATCCGTAACAACAGTATCTAGCCATGACACATAAATTGATAGATCCAGGATACATACAAATTATTCTTAAGTTTCTTTATATACTCTTTTATCATTTGTCGATAATTGGAATCAAGCAATTGAGAGTTATTGTCGTTTTGTACAATTGTTTTAATCGTGATATCACACTTAGAAAAATAGAAATTAAACAGAGTTGTTATTACATTATAGCATTTGCACCACACGTAAAATATAAATCATCGTGTTTGTGTAATGAGTGTTAAAAGCTTAAAGGTAAAAAATAATCAAATAAACATTGTCGTAAGTAATTAAAAACAAAAATAAATAATTTTAAGCAATTAAAAATCAATTAACGGAACTTCGAGTTGACATTGAACCATATATTGAAAAGCTTAGTAACAAAAACTGAAAAAAGAAAAATATAAATTCAAGAAAATAAGAACTTCAAAGCTTGTATGAGTATATGTATTAAGTATTATCAACAAGTATTTATTTTAATCTTTGAACCATCCTTTCTGAATAACACAAACGTTTATAAATAGTTAATTTGTAAAAAAATTGTAAATGATGGTTTTTGCCAAAGCTCATGACATATTTAAAAAATAAGTTGTGTAGCTAAAGTGGGTATTCAAATGGTCTTTATTTTAATAAAAAAGCGATGATCACATAAAACAATATCTCTGGTTTAGCAAAAATAACATTTTCATGCAAGGAGAATTAAAGTTATTCAACCTAACCTCTAAAGATCGACTACATAAACCAATATTTTATATCAAACGTATTATGGAGGTGCATTTGACTACAAGCGATATAACAGTAAAAACTATGCCTGCCATTATTTATTATGTAACAGTTATATTAAGTATGTGAACTTACCAAATATTTGAAGGAAAACACGAAATAGTTCATACATGTTTTTCATGTGTTTTTTTTATAATATATCATAATCTTGTAAAACACTTTTTTAATCCAAATCCATTTCAAGTCTTTGAATAATGTCCATTTAATCTATTTTACTATTGTAAACATAACTCTTACATAAAGGCTTCTTCAAATAGTTAACAAGTATCAGCGCAATTCTATCTAACAATCTTCGCGTCTTACATAATCAAAGTAACAAAATGTTGCAGCTGCCAAGCTTGATGTATATATACTCTCTCTTCCAATAGAAAAGTGATGTTCACTGTTTCCGATATAGAAACATTATGTTAAAGATAGGATGTTATAATGTAAAAATTCTGTTAATATATGACAAGAATTAAATTTCTCATTCATCGTCCTGTCATGTGAACATAACCTTTAATGGAACAGAATAATATAAATATATTTATAATTTTTACAGCTTCCAATGCGTAGTGTAATAAAGGATGCAGTGGAACTTGTCTATCCCGACACTCATTGGGACAAGTTGGTTATGTCGGATATGATAATGAAAAGTTGAAGGTTGTCAGATATGAAATGTTCTGAATATTGCAAGGATCATTTTGCATATTTTAACAAGAAAAAAAGAAAACCTTCACTTAAATGTATTAAAATATCTTAACGTGCATGTATTAATTAATAATATCGCATTTTTCAGTTCAGTATTGTTTATTATATTGAAGTCTATGATATATCTTCCAAGGTCAAATTGCACTTCCATTCCGGACATTCATGACAAGTAAGATTATACAATGCCAGATCTTTTTCATTTATAAGTTTTATAAGAAGTATCTGTCTTAATTTGATTGATTTTAAAAACTTTAATGAAAACATCATAACAAAACATGTATCCAATATTCAAAAATAAAACATCTACTCTATTAATTGCAATAATTTTTTCACAGTGTGTGAGATAATTGATAAAACGATTGATTTAAATGATAACCGAATGCTTAATATTCCTCTGCTTAAAAATGCAAATTGATAATAATACGAGCGTATTTACAGTTTAGATAGTGTCGACACGCCCATATTTCAAGCTTTAATGCTCTTAAGACACAGATGGTAAAGGTAAAATGCACTAATTTCATTTCGGAGAATATCTGTTTATTTCGAAAATTGTCAATTTGTAAACATAATGCTATCACTTACTACGACAATCAACAAATTCAATTAAATACAAATGTACCTTCCCAGGGTAACTATAAAAACATAACAATGAGTTTGTTTAATTAGAAAATATGCATGTTCGAAAAAAGAAAACTACGCACTACGAAAGACTCTTATATTTTTGATTTACAATGAAATTGTAATAATTCCATCTCAGTCTATAGATTAAGTAAGTTTAAACATTAAACCAACTTTTAAAGTAATGAGTTGAAACAGATATTTACGATAATTTGTGATAAAGTTATATATCCCGCTTTACAGGAATTTATTGATACGTTTTACAATTAAGCATCGTTTCAATGATTCCTCGTTTGGTTTGAACGTTCACATAATAGTTATACGTTAGAAATTATTTTAAGGAAATGGGTACGGAGCACGTTTTAGTATCAATCTATGCTTAATAATTTTTGAATGCTTGTTGGTTAGAATAGAAGAAGTGGTGAGCTTTATGGTTATACTAAAGATTTGTATGTTTGATAAATACAGCATTGTGCCTCCTAATTTTAGATAATGTCTGTGACAAGAGATAGCAAAAGACACAATAAATTATCATATTATCAGACACAGCTTGCTTTCATTTATAAACAACTTTCATGACTTCATAATTTGGTTGTTGTAGATGTAGACAAAATGCAGAAAAACAGTTTTCGCATCCAAGACATTAGAAATGCTCAGTATAAACCGTTTTAATCCATCGAATAGTAAAAATATACCATAGCTTTTGTTTATAATTCTACTAGTTGATTAATCCATTGATAAAAATACGTTTCTCAAGAGCAGCAATCTTCAAAGTGTGGATTATTTTCTACAATAAGAATAATTATTCTAAAAAACAAAATCTGAAAATTTGCAAAAGCTATTTGTCTAGGACTACATCAAATAGTATATTAATCTGAAAATCTGAAAAAAATCCATCCTGTCAGGTCAAAACACCTCAATGGATCACTACTCCGGATTTCCTTTTACTATTGATGTTAAGTGTTAATTGAGATAGTCAAGTGCTGTAAGATGCAAACTAATATTATACACAGAATTTGATACCTCTTTACTTAACTTGCAAGTGCATAAGCAT